GTTATTATCGTTATAGAAATTAGATTGAGTTTTCAAATTAAGCAGTTAATTAAATTATTCTTCATATGCTTTCTCACGTAGTGATTAGGATACATGGCTGCATTTCAAGGCCTGACCGCTTGCCCTTGGATATTCCTGTTTGGCCGTCTTTTTAATATATTGATTAATTTATCATCAATCAATTTTTTTTAGAAAAATTTTCAATAAATCCATTTTTTTTTTCAATAAACACATTTGAACAAGAACAAACTGCCGAAAAGAAATCTTTCACGAATTTGGTTGGATTCGGATCGAATCCGGATCTAAATGATGCGATTTCGAATCCTGACTTGTACTTCGGATCGAATCCGAATCTTTAAAAATATTCGCCCGATTCGGTCCGTGCGGAACACTACCTAGTCTGTTGAATTTTGGTTGCTCCACTAATCTATTCTAAAAAACTACATACTGTACGTATAAAGCAATAAAAAAATATAATGCAATATGCACTTAACAATAGTCTTCGGCATACGTTAATGCAGTGGCACAGTAAATGGTCATTTATATAATTTATGGCACCATTATTACGTAATATTTTTAATAACTTCTAATTAGCATGCGATCGTGCTGGATATCGAAAAACGTGGATAAAAGCCAAAAAGGCAACTGATTTACATAACCGATTTAGCAATACAATTATCGTTATAACATTAATCCCCATTAATCCTATTAGTCAATGAGGAAGGGGACACTTTCGGACATTTACTCAAAATTTTATTAACCTATTTAAACTTTCTAAATAAAATATATCATCATATATTTTTTAAATTAATATATTGATTTTTGAAGCTTGAATATGGTGGAGTTTGGACATTGGACATGACCCAAAAAAGTCTCGGACATAGATCACTGAACCATAAGATATCGAACATTTCAACTTAGAGTTTTTCAAGTGACATAACAGTCAAATGATATTAGTTTATTAAGTAAAGTTGTCCGTAGTGATAAGTTCTACGCAAAATCTAAATTTTTTGACAACCTTTATCAATGGACTTTCGTGTTATCCGTTTTGAAAGGTTACTAATTTTAAAAATTGATATCTAGTGATCAAAAATAGATAAGAAAATAGCGTGATATCTAGTGATCAAAAATAGATAAGAAAATAACGTGATCACCATCATAATTTCGATATCCCAAATCGATATAGATAAGTATCAAATTTTTGATCAAGGACCCCCTTAACGTTAAATTGGCAGTTTACAAATCCAGTAACAAATACTATGATTGGTTATTAATATATCCAAAAAAATCGACATGATGTAAAATTTACAAGCTTGTACTACAAATTTTTTGATTAAAGCATGCAAGATTTTATAATCATAAATCTTGATTCACTTAAACCAGGATCAATAAACATTAAATTGTGAAAGAAAGTCTTTCGTTTCTTTTAAAATTTATATCAAAAATAATACACTATGTCGTTTTTAGTGTCTTTATTAAGATCTATCAGATTTTCGTCTAGACGATACGAGCCAATTCCTGATGACCCGCATTCGGAAGGTCACTTTCATTCTCCAGAAATAATTAGGGATATTGTATTGGGATTAAGTGACGGTTTGACTGTACGTGTACGAATTTGGTTTTTTTTTCAATGCTTTACTAAAATTTTATTGTGTTAATTTTAGGTTCCCTTTGCTTTGGCTGCGGGTCTTTCTTCTTTAGGGAATAGTCGTTTAGTAATCATTGGTGGTCTTGCTGGTAAGTAGCTTTGTTGGAATGTACTAAATTGTATTATTTGAAATTATGACTTATATGTTGAGTGTCTAACAATTTTTTTTTTTTTCAAGAGTTAATATCAGGTGCCATTTCGATGGGTTTAGGCGGTTATTTGGCTGCAAAATCAGATGCGGATCATTATGATACGGAAAGACTTAGAGAAGAGTGGGAAGTTCAGAATTGTCCTGAAGCTGAAGCTCAAGAAATTATCGGTATGTTTATTATTCAGATTCGTTACAATTTTTAAAAATTTTCAATTAAATTATTTTTTTCGTTAATGTCATATCTAGATATATTAACCCCGTACGGATTAGATGTTGCAACTTTGGCTCCTTTAATTGAAAGATTAAGATCAAATCCAGAAAAATTTGTTGATTTTATGATGAAATTTGAGCTATGTCTTGAGAAACCAGGTTAGTTGGTTATTCATTTAAAGACGTTTTATATTCCATAACCTTGAATCTTCACTGGTTTTGTTTTTCTTATATCCATGTAGATCCTTCTCGATCATGGGTGAGTTACAATTCGTTGTTTATTCAATGTTCTCGAGAAAACTTTAAATAATACATTATTTCAATATTCTCCAGAAAAGTGCCATAACTATCGGGTTGGCTTATTTCCTTGGTGGTCTTATTCCGCTGATTCCTTATTTCTTCATAGAATCGGCTATGACTGGTTTATATGTTAGTAGTATTATAACCTTGTTGGGTCTAGTTATATTCGGATTTATTAAGGCCATGTTCACAGCGCCTAATAAGGCATTATGGGCTGCTTTTCAAACAGCTCTTGTCGGTGCCATCGCTGCTGCAGCTGCGTTTGGTGGAGTAAGAATTATTGAGGATGTTTTCCATTAATCAAAAATTATTAATAGTCTATGGATATATATTGATCATAAATCTGACTATATATGTGGATTTAATTCATTACTTTTAATAACATCATAATAATAAACTTTATTTTTTTATGAAAAGTACTGATAAAACGATATTTCAAGGATTCGATATATATATTTTTTGCATAATTACTCAATTTTAAGAGATCTGTGAAGTCAATTTTAAAGAGATCTGTGAAATCACTTTAAGTCATATAGTACGGATTAGATATCGTGGCTTAACTATAATAACCACATTTGACTGTGTTGTGTATTTAGTACGTAGCTTAGAGTAGGTTATTATAATAAAATTTCGTCTGAATGTTTAT